TACCACATAATATGATTATATTTAATTTCGTTTCATTTCATTGCATTTTATTTCCATTTCATGTCCATTCGATGTCATTTTGTTTAATTTCATTTCACCCTCCCCATCTCACAGCATATCTTGTATCATATCATGTAACATATGATGTTTTATCATGTTATATCATGTTACATCATGTTATAGTGTCATATCAGATCATATAATTTCATTTCATTTCCATTTCATTGCATTTGGTTTCATTTCTCCTCCTCCTCATTTTCTCTCCCCATCATCTCAAAAATATTCTATCATGTAATACCATATCACATTTTATATCATGTCACAATCTATCATATCATACCATATAATATCCTATCCTATTATATATCACTTTATTTCATTTCCCTTTCATGTCCTATCATTTTATGTGATATCATTACATTTTATCATAGTTTACTTTGATTTAATTTAATTGCATTTCATTTCATATTGTATCATATAATTTAATTTCATTTTATTTCATTTCATGTTCATTTGATGTAATCTCATTGAATTTCATTTCATCCTCCTCTTCCTCTTCCTCTCCTCTCCTCTCCTCTTCCTCTCCTCTCCTCTCCTCTCCTCTCCTCTCCTCTCCTCTCCTCTCCTCTCCTCTCCTCTCCTCTCCTCTCCTCTCCTCTCCTCTCCTCTCCTCTCCTCTCCTCTCCTCTCCCCTCCCCTCCCCTCCCCTCCCCTCCGCTCCCCATGGTACCCCAAAAATCCAACCAACCCCAGGCACCTCCATCACCCCCAGCATTGCCGGTACTCCTAAATGACCCCAAACCCAAACTTTATTGAGTATAGATATGTATATATAGGTGTGTATATATGTATACATATGTATATGTATGTCTAGGTGTATATATGTAAATATATGTACATATACGTGTGTGTATGTATGTATATAAATGTATATATGAATATATACTTGTATCTACTTATATATTTAGATATCTATGTATATTTATACTTATATCTGTACATCTATATTCTTTTCATAATTATTATTAATGAATTAATACTAGCAATATATTAATGAATATTAATATAATATCAATATTTAAGTCTATGGATATACTAAAATTGATGCATTAATACTGATGTTAATATTAATATCAATATTTTAGTGTAGACATTTATATTAATATTTTATTTATAATTTCATTTTAATATTTACGTACATTAATATCGATATTTATAGTATGTATATCTGTTTAATATATCCATATATTTATTTTTTATTTAGATCTATATTTATATATCTGTATCTCTAATTATAATAATTATTTTTCTGTGATATTTCTATGGTATTTAGACCCACCATGTATCTATTCAGCTCTATGGCTCTATCCCTATTCACATGTATGTACCCGTACACCGCAACCACAGCAGCACAGAGCGGGCTGAGTTGGAAAGGACCCCAAGCCCCTGCAGCCCCAGGGCAGGGGCAGTGCTGAGGCATTGATTGTCACCGCCAGCTCCAGCCCAGCCCTGGAAGCGGGGCAGTGCCTTGGTCCTTGCGGCCGGGGCATCACCCACAGCGAGGGGACCAAGCCCTCAGCCCCTGCATCCCTTCCCGTGCCGCTGCCTCCACCCCTGCCCGCCCCGCGGTGATGCTCAGCGGGAGCTGCAATGGAAGCTCCGGGGCTCACCCGCGGCTTCTCCCCCTGCCCAGCTCCTCATCCTGATGGTCAGCAAGCACCCGAGGGCATTGCTGATCAGCATGGTCCTCAACGTGCCCTTGAGAGACAGGTACCAGCCTTGAGGGCTTGATCCCTATGGCCACCAGACCTGAGGACCCACGGCAATGGATGATCTTAAGGCCTTTTCTATGATGCTGAAGAGCGGGTCCCTGCATCCCACCCCATGGCATTGGGGTTGGAATTGGATGATCTTAAGGTCCTTTCCACGATGCTGAGGATTGGGTTCCTCCATCCAGACCCAAGGCTCCCTTTCCCGTCCGCTCTGCCCATCCCACATCTGGATGTGGGACTGCTGCAGCCAATGGGGGAGTTCTGTAGCATCCCATTCCCTCTGCAGCTGGAGCGGAGCAGGAGGAGGGCTCAAGGATACCTGCACCAGAGCCTGCGGTACCTGCAGGATGCTCAGGTCCCCCTGCAAGAGGCAGCCGTCAGGTTCATTGGTGAGCCCCTGCGGTCCCAATCCCGGTCCCCACCGCTGCATTCCTGATGGATGCTGATGGATCCAAATGGATACTGAATGATCCCAATGGATCCCTGTGCCCAGGACTGGCTGCGCGGCCTCTACGAGGGAAAAGCCCAAGGAAGCTGCAGGAGATCTGCAGAGGTGAGGAGGGAGCAGGGGCTGGGGGGATGCTGGGGGCTATGGGGGGCTCATCCCGGTATCTTTGGATCACAGCCCTGGAAGCGCTGCTGGATGAGGGCGATCCCGGCATCCGTTCCCTGACAGCTCAGACCCTGCTCATCCTCCGGAGCACACCGGAGCAGTGGAGCCTGGGATACCGCCTGCGGGCACTCTTCCGCTAGGAATGGCGCAGTTTTCCTTAGGGAAAAGAACGGCGGAGACAAACCTGGACCTAGGAGCTCCGGAGACTGAAGGGCATCGCCTCCGCCGTCCCATTCCCTGCTCTCCATCAACAGCATCCAGGCAGCACAGTCTCCGAACATGATTCCCGTTATCCCGCAATGAAGATGAAGTGATTCCTTCCGGGCTTCCCTGCTTCCATGGATCAGCAAAGGGGGTGGCGCTGGGGCAGGAAACGGTGTTCCCAAAGGAATTTGGTCCATTATAACGCTAAAAGGCACGCATCGGCATCGGAATCCCTCCCCCCCCCCCCCCCAGCTTCCATTGAGTGCACCCGGGTACCCCGGTGCAGTCCCCCTTGCTCTGCCTCTTGGTACCGCCCACTGGATAAAGCCGCGCCCCCCCAGGACGTCCAGCCAATCAGAGCCCTCCCCATCTGGCTTGACCATGCCCCTCCCCCTCCCGTGGGCGGGCTCATTGAGCACAAAAGGGGGACCCCAGTATCATAGAAGGGGGGGGCACCCCCCAGTACCCAAAATGGGGGCATCCAATGCCTCAAATGGGGGGGACACCCCAAAATGGGGGAAACCCCTCAAAACTGAGCCCCCAGCACCCCAAAATGGGGGGACACCAAAATGGGGGTGACCCCTTGAAAGTGAGACCCCAGCAGCCCAAAATGGGGGGGCACCCCAAAATGGGGGAAACCCCCTGATAATGAGACTCCAGCACCCCAAAATGTGGGGACATCAGAAAGGGGGAAACCCCCTGAAACTGAGACTCCAGCACCCCAAAATGGGGGGACACCAAAATGGGGGAAACCCATTGAAAATGAGACCCCAGCATCCCAAAATGGGGGAAACCCCTTCAAATTGAGACCCCAGCACCCCAAAATGGGGGACACCCCAAAATGAGGAGCAGACACCCCCAAACGGGAGAAACCCCTTCAAACTGTGACCCTAGCACCCCAAATTGGGGGGGACACCCCAAATTGGGGGAAACCCCTTAAACTGGACCCCAGTACCCCAAAATTGCGGGTGGCACCTCAAAATGGGGGAAACCCTTCAAACTGGACCCAGTACCCAAAAATGGGGTAGGCACCCCAAAATGGGACCCCAGCACCCCAAAATGGGACAGCCCCAAAATGGGGGAAACCCATCCAAACTGGGTCCCCAGGACCTCAAATGCCCCCCCCCCCCCCCCCCCCAAAATGGTCACAACCCCTCTTTTCTACCCCTCCCTGATGGAACAAACCACTGGCGGGGGAGGGGGGGCAGCTGTTTTATTCCCCTCAGCATCAAACCTGGTGGGGGGATCGAGTAAGATCATGGGGACGTATAAAATAATATACACAATGGGGGGGGAATGATTTGGGGGGGCCCAATGGGGGGGTCACAGTGAGGCCTCTCCCCCCCCCCCCCGTGGAGAAAATGGGTAGAAAAAGGCAAGATTTGGGGTTGGAAAGGCGCCATTTATACAAACATAGTGATTTATAAAGGGGGGGGTGTCAAGGAGTGGGGGTTAAACCCATTGCTTTCCACTAGGAAATACTTTGCTTGCGGGGGGGGGGGAGGGGGAGAAAGTGCTGGAAGAGCCTAATTACTAATTAGCATATTATTAATTTTTATTATTAAGGATTTGGCCTCTAAATGAGGGGCTGGGGGGGGCTCCTGCACCCCCTTATTGCCTTGAATGGTATGGTCCGTTCCCCCCCCCAGGGATATGGGGGGGCAAAGGGGGTGTATGGGGGTGGGGGGGAGCCCTATAGGGAAGCCTCAGCCCTATAGGAAGGCCTCAGCCTGAGACAAAGGTGCACAAAATCACAAAATGGAATATAGAAACCTTTATAAGTAGTTTTAAGTAATGTTAAGTTTGATGGCTCTGTAACAGCAGCAATGGAAAATTACTGAGGTGCAGGATGCTTAGAGAAAAAAACCAGAGTACAGCTAGAGAACAGTGAGAATTCTCACAAGATAAATCGTTACAGTTGGCATAGTTTTAAGAAAAACAGTCAGGAAGAACAGGACACAGGGATAAGGAGTATCTGGAACCGCAGGTGTCCAGGGTGGGCTGCAGTTTAACGGATAAGTAGGAGGACGGGAGGATTATTATGTCTCTGGTGCTAACGAACCAATGAAACTGGTATGAGCATCTACTGCGCGTGCTTCAGAGGCTGCCAGAAGTGATGAAGATCGTTGGAAGAAGTAACCGACCTCAGAGACCACCACCACAATTGTGTGCGCATGCGGGGAACTCTCTGGAAAATGATGGAATCCGTACGTAGCCTCATGAATATGTATGTATGCCCAGGGACTATAAAAGGACGGCTTGTGTGGCCACTGGGGACACATGTTAGGGGGAGCCATCCCCCGTGTCTCCTGGCTCTGCAATAAAGAATACCTGCTTGTCAGCTTGAAACCTTTGGTGGCGAGTTTGTTCCTGCAGTTTTCTCCGAATCCTTGGATCTGGATGATTCCAGCTCCTTCCTATCCCAACCCATCCCATGATTCCAGCACTCAGCCTTCTTGTCATGGAGGCCCCCGCTGGTGGTGGCTGGGTGCTGGCGGCGCTTGGGCAGGGTGCTGGAGGGGTACGTGCTTCCAAAGCCCCCCTCAGGTTCCAGCACTGGGCTCCCACTGGTGTAAGCGAGGTCCCAGCGCCCATCACAAAGGCTTTCATCTGACAGGGTCCTCAGGAGCCCCTTGGGGGGGGTCTGGGGGGGGAAAGAGGGGGTGAGCACATGGTTGTGGTTGAAGCCCCATTGGTCATGGTTGGACCCCCACTGGTCGTGGTTGAACCATCCCTGGTCATGGTTGGACCCCATTGGTCATGGTTGAACCCCCACTGGTCATGGCTGGACCCCAACTGGTCATGATTGGACCACACTGGTCATGGTTGAACCCCCATTAGTCACATTTGGAGCCCTACTGGTCATGGTTGAGGCCCCATTGGTTATGGTTGGGCCCCACTGTTCATGATTGGCCCCCCTGGTTGTGTTTGGAGGCCCCTTGGCCATGGCATTCCCGGCTCACCGGGGCACGCTCCTGCTCCAGGCTGGTGGTGTCCGTGATGATGAGCTTCTTGAGGTCATCCTTGACGGTGGACTTGTAGCTCCTGTGCAGGGGAGCGGAGGTCCCACAGCAACACCTGAAGCAGGGGCTGCCCAAAGACGTTCTTGGGGGGGGCCTCCACCTGCCTGGGAGGGGAAATGGAGACGGGACCCCCCCTGGGTCCCCATATCACTCCATAATCATCACCCCAACATCACCCCATCATTATCACCCCAACATCATCATTCCCATCTTCATCATCATCATCATCCCTATCCAAACATCACCTCAACATCAACCCAACATCACCCTATCATCAGCCCAATTTCATCCCCAACATCATATTCCCATAATCACCCCCAAAATCACCCATCATCATCACCCCCAACATCATGGTCCCAGCACCATCATCCCAACATTGTCAGCCCAACCTCATCATCCCACCATCACCCCATCATCATCCCAACATCATCATCATCCCAACATCATCATCATCATCATCATGCCCAAAATCACACATCATCATCATCATCCCAACATCACCCCAACGTCATCAATCCAACATCATGATCCCATCACTTCAACAGGCCTCCACTGCCTGGGACCATAGGTGGGGGGAGACATGGAGGTGGGACCCCCCATGAGCTCCAACATCACCCAAAATCACCCCATCATCGTCATCCCCATCATTTCATCCTGATGAAATCCATCCGCGGGTCCTGAAGGAGCTGGCAAATGCAGTTGCTAAGCCGCTGGCCATCATATTTGGTAGATCATGGCAGTCAGGTGAAGTTCCCGACGACTGGAAAAAGGGAAATATAACCCCCATTTTCAAGAAGGGGAAAATGGATGACCCGGGGAATTACAGACCAGTCAGTCTCACCTCTGTGCCTGGCAAAATCTTGGAGCAGATTCTCCTGGAAGGCATGCTAAGGCACATGAAAAACAACATAGTTGATGAGAAAATGAACATGAGCCGGCTTCAGTGTGCACTTGCAGCCCAGAAAGCAACCGTATCCTGGGCTGCATCAAAAGGAGCGTGACCAGCAGGTCGGAGGAGGTGATCCTGCCCCTTTATTCTGCTCTCGTGAGACCTCACTTGGAGTATTGTGTGCAGTTCTGGTGTCCTCAACATAAAAAGGACATGGAGCTGTTGGAACAAGTCCAGAGGAGGCCACGAGGATGATCAGGGGACTGGAGCACCTCCCATCTGAAGATCGGCTGAGAAAGTTGGGGCTGTTCAGCCTGGAGAAGAGAAGGCTGCGGGGAGACCTCATAGCATCCTTCCAATATCTGAAGGGGGCTATAGGGATGCTGGGGAGGGACTCTTCATTAGGGACTGTAGTGGTAGGACAAGGGGTAATGGGTTAAAACTTAAACAGGGCAAGTTTAGATTGGATATAAGGAGGAAATTCTTCCCTGCTAGGGTGGTGAGGCACTGGAATGGGTGCCCAGGGAGGTTGTGAATGCTCCATCCCTGGCACTGTTCAAGGCCAGGTTGGAGAGAAGGCTGCGGGGAGACCTCATAGCATCCTTCCAATATCTGAAGGGGGCTATAGGGATGCTGGGGAGGGACTCTTCATTAGGGACTGTAGTGGTAGGACAAGGGGTAATGGGTTAAAACTTAAACAGGGCAAGTTTAGATTGGATATAAGGAGGAAATTCTTCCCTGCTAGGGTGGTGAGGCACTGCAATGGGTGCCCAGGGAGGCTGTGAATGCTCCATCCCTGGCACTGTTCAAGGCCAGGTTGGACGAGGCCTTGGGTAATATGGTTTAGAGCAAGGTGTCCCTGCCCATGGCAGGGGGGTTGGAACTTGATGATATTAAGGTCCTTTCCAACCCTAACTATTCTATGATTCTATCACCCAACATCATCACCCCATCACCTCCTTTTATGGTCCTACCTCCCCAGCACCTACTATTGGGTCCTGCTCCCTAGCACGCACTTTTACAGATCCTAGCCCCCCCCCAAGCACCCACTTTTGGGGCTCAGGCTTCTCCTCAGCCCTTTTCCAGCCCGTGCCTTGTTTACTCCTGAGCAGCTGCTTGGAAAAGAAGGATGTGGGGATGGAAGCCGAGAGCTGGGTCCCCCCTCGGGGGGCTTCAGTTTCAGGGGTGCCATAGCCACGATACCCCATCCATGGGCTGGAGCTATGAGGAAGAGGATGGAAGCTCATGGTTAGAAAGGGGATGTGGGTACACCCCCTGCATAAAGATGGGGTGGCCCAATATTGGGGGGGACAATCCTAGTTGTGGGGGCTCACCTGGGCTGGGGGGGGGGGTCCCTGCTTTGTGCCTGTAGCTTGCGCTGGGGGGTGATGGGTCATAGAATCATAGAGTAGTTCGGGTTGGAAAGCACCTTAAGGTCACCCAGTTCCAACCCCCTGCTACGGGCAGGGACACCTCACACTAAACCATCTCACCCAAGGCCTCGCCCAGCCTGGCCTTGAACACTGCCAGGGATGGAGCATTCACAACCTCCCTGGGCACCCATTCCAGTGCCTCACCACCCTCACAGGAAAGAATTCCCTCCTTATATCCCATCTAAACTTGCCCCATTTCAGTTTTAACCCATTACCCCTTGTCCTATCACTACAGTCCCTAATGAAGAGTCCCTCCCCAGCATCCCTATAGCCCCCTTCAGATACTGGAAGGATGCTATGAGGTCTCCCCGCAGCCTTCTCTTCTCCAGGTTGAACAGCCCCAACTTTCTCAGCCGATCTTCAGATGGGAGCTGCTCCAGCCCCTGAGCATCCTCGTGGCCTCCTCTGGACTTGTTCCAACAGATCCATGTCCTTTTTCTGTTCAGGAAAATCAACACAAACCCACCTCTAAACCACCCCAAATCAACACAAACCCACCCCTAAATCACCCCAAAACCACCCCAAATCACCCCAAATCAACCCAAACCCACCCCAAATCTACCTAAAACCACCCCAAACCACCCCTTGCACCCCAAAACCACCCAATTCCCCCAAATCAACCCCAAACCACCCCTAAATCACCCCAAACCCACTCCTAATCATACCAAACCCAGCCCAAAACAATGCAAAACTACCTCTAAATCACCCGAACGCACCCTAAATCACCCCCAAACCACCCCTTGCACCCCAAAACCACCCAAACTCCACCAAATCACCCCCCCCTACCCAGGACCAGCTGCTGTTCTGCGACGACTGCAACTGGGGGTACTCCAGGTACTGCCTGAGCCCCCGATGGCCAATCCCCCCCAAAGGTCAGTGTAAGGGGGGTCAATGGGGGGTGGAGGTGGCACTTTGGGGGTACCTCCCCTCTTTGTGTGTGCCCCCCCCACAGGCAGCTGGAGCTGCCACCTCTGCCTGCGGCAGCTCAAGGACAAGGCCTCAGCCTTCATTGATAGCGGAACAGACTCCACAACTTCGTTAAAGTTGTAAAGTAGGTATGCTTTATTCAGCTGAAGACGCACGGGGGATTGGTCCTCCAAAAGGCATGCGTACCTCAGTGCCATTTTCCTTTTACATTTATCCTGTTTAGGTTGCACAATACGCCTATACATATTCATATTCTATCCCCGCTTCGTATTATAATGAGCTAAAAGGCTCTGTACGCATGTGCAGTGCCTCCTGGTGGTCTTGGGCAGGGGTCTTCAGATGAAGTAAGTACTCTTCCTCTTGTGGGTAGGGGTCTTCAAGATGAAGTAAACGAGTCTTCCTCAGGCTTGAACTTTTTACCTCTGGTCCTCTCGCATGCTCTTTTCAGGAGCTGGATGGGTCTGGGTCTATGTCCAATCTGGTTTAATGAGCTATTCCCTTCGTTAGGAAGCTTTTATCTTAGTACTGCCGTGATAAGGCACCTGCTGAGCTTGTCAAGCCAGCTATGACTTAAGCAGTACTCCTTGTACAACTATTCTCCTCATTAGGAGGCTCTGTCCTGGGTACTGCCTGATAAGACATCTGCCGAGCTTGTTAAACCAGCTATGACTTAAGCAGTATCTGTACAGTTTTGTCTAACCCCCTTGCTACAACCCCCCCCTGTACATTTTGTCTAACCCCCTTGTACAACCCCCCCCCCTGTACACAATAGGCCACATCAGTTTCAATTCCCCCCCCTTTTCATAACATAAGTAAATTCTTTTACTTAAGAGATACCCAGGTGCCTTCAATGGATTTGCGAAACATATTCGATACACATTGGATTAAGCATGGAATTGTCATTAACGACTAAAAGAACTACAGCCAGAGAATCCAAATCCCTTGTTTGATTACCTCCTTAGTCCACCCTGTAATCCCAAATCCAACTTCAACCAGTCATCCAACCCTCCATCAACTTGCAATTTCTTCGTGTTTTCCTGTAGCTCTTGTAATTTGGCATAGATAGATTTTGAATGGTCTGTTAAGTTCATACAACACATACCTTCAAAATCTTCGCATCCATGACCATGGGCTAGTAAGAGAAAGTCTATAGCTGCCCTATTTTGTAAGGAGGCGTGTTGTGTACACTATCTACGTCTGTAGCAGCTGTTGTGCTGTCCAACATGCGAGGCGATGAATATCTGCCAATGCTTTTCCAGCTGCTACGTTTAGTAAAAGCAGTGCAGCAAAGAATCGCTTTGTATGGCCCCAAATCTTTAATGTGGGGTCACATTTAGGGCCTAATTGGTTAATAGATCTTTTATTCCTATGAAGGTCTTCTCGTAGGGTTTGGATTACATGTTTTTTGGAAGCTGCAAACAAGGACAATTTTCCTAAATAGCATGGTCTCCCATGCGGCTTAGAGGGTATTCCTGGCCATGCACGGTCTCCGCATATCAAGAAGTAACCTGGGGGTAGTGCCTTAGGGGGTGATAACATCATATGGGAGTGAAGGAGAAGACCCAAGACAATATGCTAGGTAACATTATGATACTAATCTTTCCTATTAGTCTCACTTTAGTTTCTGGATTTTCTGATCTGACCAAGAATTGAATGTTATACAGCTGATTACTTTGGTCAGACCCCAGAAGTCGGAGTTCCTGAATTGGGATGGTTGAATGATTTAGTCCTTTTATAATTCCTCTTGTCTGAACAGATGCAACTGTCCAATCGCCTGAAGTTCTCTTAACTACTTTAGTTACTATTGTAAGGTTCAAGACTGAATCATTTCTCACCCATCCATACTTAGATAAGGAACTCCGCTTAAACACGTTTGGAATGGGTTTCCTACTTGTGTGAGTAATAAACAAAAATCAGTAACACCAGTTCTATTTGCCCAAGTAAGTCAAACATTTGTCTCTGTTCCTAATAGTGGTAACATTTTGTCAAGACTTTGTGTGACCCCTAGAATCACAGTTAATCCTGTAATTATTTTCATCATTCTTCGACCTTTTGCTGGTTATAATTGCAAACAAGAGAAAAGTATTAAAGCTTTAAACAAGAAGGTTAAAAATATCATCAATACAGTCTTATCAATTTGCAGTGTTACTTGTTACGAATTAGCGTTAGTTTCAGTTCATTTTCAGTTTGGATTGCCCTCCAGGGTGTCTTCCGGGATTTCTTAACTCGAGTATGATGAATCCAGGCGTTCTGTTCCTTAATCTTCATAGCTGTGAATGTAGTTAATAACACCTGGAATGGCCCTTTCCACCTTGGCTCGAGATCATAATCTCCTGTAGGTTTGAAAGACTTTACATACACATAATCTCCAGGCTGTATATTGTGTACCGAGCTGTCCAACCCTCTGCTTCGAGTTCCAGCCACATGTTTTTCAATTCTAGTAAGCTGCTTTCCTAACTCTATTATATAGGTGTTCATGGTTTCTTCTCCCGCTTGGGGAGACATTCCCTGTTGAACCCCATATGGCCTTCCATATAAAATTTCAAAAGGACTCAGTCCTTTTCGTGCTCTTGGTTTAGTTCAAATTCTCAACAAGGCCAGTGGAAGGGTTTGGGGCCAAGGTAGCCTGGCCTCCTGGCCCAATTTCACAATTTGTTGTTTGATTAAATGATTTATCTTTTCTACTTGTCCACTTGATTGTGGATGATAAGGGATATGAAGCTGTCAATCAATTCCAAGAGATTTGCTTACTTGCTGTACCACATTTGAAATAAAATGTGGCTCTCTGTCTGAAGATATTATGGCTGGAACTCCAAAGCGTGGTATTATCTCCTGTAACAGTATTTTGGTCACTTCTCGTGCCTTTGCACTCCTAGTTGGAAAGGCTTCTGGCCAACCTGAAAAGGTGTCTGTTAATATTAACAAGTATCTATACCCCCCTTTTCTCGGCAGTTCTGTGAAATCAATCTGCCATTGCTGTGCTGGTCCATTACCCTTTACAATTTGACCCATTTTGAGCTTGGGTATAATTTTGGGATTTGTCTTAAGGCAAAGATCACACTGGCGAGTTACCTGTTGAATGGTGGCATATAATTTTCTAGCCATAATGTTGCCTATTAAAAGTTTATGTAAGGTTTTGGCTCCCCAGTGTGTTTTCTGATGTACATTCTTTACTAAAGACCATAACATTGAGAAGGGAACAATTACCCTTCCTTGTGGTGTATTGGCCCACCCTTCTTCATTGAATATTCCATTTGGATCTGCAATCAATTTTTGATCTTCCTTATTATAATTTGGCTTACCTTCTAAGGAAACTTTCCCATCAGGGATCAATGCTCCTTCAGTTGGTACCTCACCTTTTGCTGCTTCTTTTGCCTCTCTGTCCGCCAGTTCATTTCCTTCTTCTAATTCAGAGCTCACCTTCTGGTGTGCCTTGATGTGCACAATTGCCACCTTCTCAGGCAATTGGACTGCTTTCAATAGTCTCAATATTTTCTGTGCATGTTTGATGTTTTTCCCTTGTGAATTTAACAGTCCTCTCTCCTTCCAAATAGCACCATGCACATGTACGACTCCGACTGCGTATTTTGAGTCTGTGTAGACGTTCCAATCAATTCTGCTTTCTGTGCGGAAGTGTTTATAGGCAAAGGTCCAGATTCTGTTACCTCTTTGCAGGTGGTAACTGCATATTCAGGCTGATGACATGACTGCTCCCATCAGTGAATCAGGTTTCTGTGTTATCCAAAGGGATACTCCTCAAATCTGGACGACTAGGATAGGCAGCCTCAATGGTTTCCAGGCAATCATGGTGTACAGGTTCTCCTTCATTACCACTGAGGAAAGAGGCTGGATTGATAATGTTAGTTACCACAATCTCAACATCATCCTGCTCTATCATGATGGCTTGATACTCTAGAAATTTCTGAGGAGAAAGTCAGTGTCCACCTTTTACTTCCAGTACGGCAGACATTGTATGAGATATCCCTGGAGTCCCAAGAAATTTAAGAGGCTTACCGTCCAAGCCACACAAGTTTCCGGGTGGCAATTAGGATGTCGTCCACGTACTGCAGTATTCTTCCTTCCTCCGGTGGGGCTTCCCATGATTCTAAGTCTTTGGCAAGTTGTTCTCCAAACAAAGTGGGACTGTTCTTAAATCCCTGAGGCAGCACCGTCCATGTGAGCTGGGTTTTGCGCCCACTTTTGGGGTTTTCCCATTCAAATGCAAAAATTTTCTGACTGGCTTCATGGAGAGGGAGGCAAAAGAAGGCGTCCTTTAGATCTAAAACAGTAAACCAAGTTAGTTCTGGAATTAAGCAAGTCAGTAGCGTGTATGGATTTGCTACCACCGGGTAAAGATCTTCAGTAATCTTGTTGACAGCTCTCAAGTCCTGTACCACCCGATATGATCCATCAGGCTTACGGACTGGTAAGATAGGGGTAACTGCAATTATTGGACAAATTTCCTCCCTATCTTCTTTTCTTAGAGAGTACTGTTTAATCCTAACTGGTTGTTTTCCCTCCTTGAGCTTAATCTGTATCAGGGGTGCATTTCTGGCTTTCCCGGGTATGTTTGTAGCCCATACTCCCGGGAATACTTGATCAAATATATCTTCCCTAACCTTCTCTTCTGTCTGGTGTGTGATCAGTTCTAAGCTTAACATTTCTATGTACTGCTGATCATTTACTTTCAAGGTGATCTCGCCTTCTTTGAAGGTAATAGTGGCCCCCAATTGTTCCAACAAATCTCTCCCCAGGAGAGCCTTTGGGGCATTAGGCATATATAAAAATTTATGAATGTCCCATTGCTTTCCCAATTGGTATTTCAGTGTCTTACAAAAATATGTTTTTTCACTTTGGCCAGTTGCCCCTTTTACAGTAACATAGTCTCCCCCTACAGGTATCAATGCCTTATTCAGAACCGAATATGTTGCCCCAGTGTCTACTAAAAATTCCACTTTATTTCCTCTAGTCCCTAGTTTTAATGTAACCAGTGGATCCGCTAGGGAGGATTCCCCAGGTCCCTTGTCAGTCTAGTTCCAATTCAGCCACCGGAGCCACCCCATGGCACTCTCTCCCCGCAGGGCAGTCTCACTTCCAACGTTCAAAACTCCCCACAGCACACACACACCGATCCGATCCCATAGGAGAAGAACCCACTTCCCCCACCTTTGCCTGACATTCCTCCTCCATCAGTTTCAAAGCACTTCTGTCCACATTTATTCAACAACCCCTCAGTCCCGTCTGTCAACATGTCTGTTCCCACTTGTTTGCCTGCCCCAGCACCCATCCGGTGCTCAAACAACACAGGAGCTTCGCGAGCTCCCCCCCTTTCAGGTTTCAGATGCCTGCCGCTGCAGCAGCACTTCTGGTTTAACCCCTTCTTAACTCTGAATGTGAATGTGCTGCTTGTCGCAGGTGACAGCAATCTCCTCCTCCTTATCAATATCCGATAGGGCAGATACAGAGGGTGCTTCTCTCAGAAGTATCTGTGATACATAATTTTCCTATTTATAACTTTCAAACATCATTCCCCATTATCCCAGGCCAAACAACATCTCTCCAGCTTAGCTTCCAGTTTTTCCTTGTCCTTTTCCAGAGCCAAAATTAGGGATCTGGCAGAGCTATATTAATTTCACATTCTGCCTGCCACTCCGGGTGATCTCCCACAGTGAAAAACATATCTGTATACAGCACTTAATCCCATTTTCCTGGCAACCTCAAAACCAACATTCATTGTAACAACGTATTATAATTCAGAGTTCCATTTTTAGGCCATTTCTCCTGATCTTCCAAAGTATATAAAGGCCACCATTGGTTACAATATTTTATCAATGTTTTCTTGTTTACCGAGCCCCCAGAAGACCCTCCCAGTTCTTTCCAGTGTGCCAAAATGTAACCCAATGGCCTTTTCTTCAGAATTCCCTTGTTTTGACTGGCTCCCATTTCAAACAGTCTTTTACAAATCTCTGCAGCTTCTCTTTCCCAGTGCTCTGCAAATGCACTTAAAAAATATGAGAGCACCTACACACGAATTTTATGATATTCTCAGGGGGTTCAGTAAAATGATACCTTTGGGCTCTGCAGATCAACTCCCCTGTTGTTAGATCACAGTTTCGGTTCCATCAAAATTTACACTGTCCTAGTGTCCACGGCAGGTTCCACTATTCAAAAGTTATTATGCACCCATATGTGAGGCTACAAGCCTCTGGTACCGAGTGTAAAGTTCAGGTCTCAAGAGTAGGATTATAGACATTAGAGGTTATACTTCTGTTATACAGCCACTGGGGCGCAGAGGGAACTCTTCTTAACACCCCCCCACCAGTAGCAGCAGTTTACTTTTGTCTACTGCTCCCCCACCGCTTAAGCACTGTAATCTTTTAACAGCAACGACAGACATATACACACACAAAACATTTAGACACAACACAGAAGACACTTTGTCCGTCCCCGCCCGCTCTCCTCGCGGAGAACACGGAACCGCGGATCGGGACGCCGAAACAGAACACAAAACAAAAACACCTTGTCTGTCTCCGGCCGCTCTCCTCGCGGAGAACACGGAACCGCGGATCGGGACTCCGCACTCGCTTCGTAGCTACGCTACGTCTCAGTCACACAAACACAAACCACTTGCACTGGGGATCCCCCACACTGACACCAGTTTACTCACCACCAGATGCCGCTTGCACCCTTCAGTGAAACCTGGAGCTCGATTCAGCCACTCTATCAGCGGGCTCCCTTAGCCCGGAGCTCCTTTTGGATTCGTCCCATACAAACTGCTGCTCTATCAGCAGACGAATCCCTAGACTCACCCGACCCACCACCAGGGTCGCTAGCGGCCGCTCTATCGGTCAGTGAGTCCCCTGTTTGCAAGCCCTACCTACCAAGGGGACAGCGCTGTGTGCCAGATGTCTCTGAGTGCCTTACCAGCAGCCCCGGCCACGCGTACCCCTTACAGGCCTTTACAAGTCCTAGGACAATTACAAACCTAAATTCCAAGCACACCGTTTCTCTGCAGCCGGCACAGGTTGTTGTCTGTCCCTGCAGTGAGCGGACGAGGAGTGGAGCCCCTCCAGGCAAGTGGCCTGGGGTGCCCAGGAGGTCCGCCCCTCCGCCGATCCTGCAGCTGAACAGAGATCTCCTGCCTGGCTCGCCAAATTGATAGCGGAATAGACTCCACAACTTGGTTAAAGTTGTAAAGTAGGTATGCTTTATTCAGCTGAAGACGCACGGGGGATTGGTCCTCCAAAAGGCATGCGTGCCTCAGTGCCGTTTTTCTTCTACATTTATCCTGTAAAGTCATACGTATTCATATTCTATCCCCGCTTCATATTATAAGGAGCTAAAAGGCTCTCCACGCATGCGCAGTGCCTCCTGGTGGTCTTGGGCAGGGGTCTTCAGATGAAGTAAGTAGTCTTCCTCTTGTGGGTAGGGGTCTTCAAGATGAAGTAAACGAGTCTGCCTCAGGCTTGAACTTTTTACCTCTGGTCCTCATGCATGCTCTTTAGGAGCTGGATGGGTCTGGTCTATGTCTAACTGGTTTAACGAGCTATTCCTTTCATTAGGAAGTTTTATCTTAGTACTGCCTGATAAGGCATCTGCTGAGCTTGTCAAGCCAGCTATGACTTAAGCAGTACTCCCTGTACAACCCCCCCCTATTCTCCTCATTAGGAGGTTCTGTTCTGGTACTGCCTGATAAGACATCTGCTGGGCTCGTTAAACCAGCTATGACTTAAGCAGTACCCCCCTGTACATTTTGTCTAACCCCCTTGTACAACCCCCCTGTACACAATAGGCCACAGCAGTTTCAATTCATTAACAGTCTATTACTAGACCTAGGGTGCTGTGCTGTGGTCTCTAGAGAAACACACAGATTAGGGGTGACTTCTTTCATCCATGCTCTCCCAGCGACGACCCTTCTCCACTAGAGACACCAGCACAACAAAAGAAGTGGGGATGGCGTGGCGTGTTTCCGTATAAACAGCAGTCCATCTGTCCTAGCTTCATGCACGCATAGGGATCGTTACTTTAGCTTTCTGTCTTTAAAAGTTCTTCTAAAGTCTTCATGATCTGTGGTGACTGAGCTGCAGCGCGAGTTAAGAGACTTGGTCCCATATGTGCAAAAAGTGCTTTTGACAGTTTTGCTGTGGCTGTCCGAATGTTCCCTCCGGTTCCAGGCAAAGAGCCACTGTTCGTCATGTTTCCCAGGAGGTGCCAAAGGACAACTAGAACTTTCTGCTCCACACTCTTAGGCTTCCGCGGATATAACTCCATCACAATATCTGCAAGAAAGACAGCAGGTCATCAATCGGTGTTTGAAGACTATCTTTAAAGCACAACTCAGAAGTGATGCCCTGCTTTGAGAAGTGTTTAAAATCACTTTATGTCAAATCATCTTCTCAAGCACTAATGAAGGAATGCTGACTGTACACAAGAGCTTCTCTGTTGCAACACCATCAGCACTCTGATTAAAAATACCAGCTTTGCCTACAAACGCCCCTTTTAGCCTCTCTTAGGAGTTCACACAGTCGTACTTGTACTGCTGATAATTACACTTTTCCATTCTTACAATTGAAACAAGAACTTGTTTTCAGGTTTGGTTCTTTTTTTGGTTTTACAGTGGCTTTTTTTTTTTTTTTGGTTGATTGGTTGGGTTTTTTTAAGTTAGGATTATAATAGGGACCTGTATTTCTCTCAGGAGCGCTGTGTAGCATCTCGTATTTTATGATTTCCCCTCTGTCTATGAAATACTTAGTAGGTTTTTGAGTTTAAGGAACAAAGTAGCCTTATACTAAAGCATTTCCCTACTTAGACCATTGCATCAGGAATTGTTTCGTTTGCAAATGTTTGTCTTTTTGCTAGAATGGACTCCTCTGATATACAATACAAACTACTCCCCAAAAATACCAGCAAGAGATGGACTGTTTAAAAGCTGGTTTCACATATAGAAAGCAGAAATTTAGGAATATTTCAAGAACAGCCTGTCTGTTATGTTTAATTCAATTTCACAGCCACTATTACAGAACTACTCTGAAACTAAGCCAAATATACTGTTCGAGTCAAGCCCATTTCCCATAAAGATATCTCTTGTTCGCTTAAAACAGCAAAAGGAAATTCAGCACTTCTGCTAGTAATAATCCCCAATATTAAAATGTGTATATAAATTTTAATCCAAATTTGCCTTTAATTTTTGAGTAAATTTGTTCTTAAGCTTTAGGAACATGACCATTCTAAAGTCTGCCATCTTTGTGGTGACTGCAGCTCAGCTTGTGTCCTTTATGGCTCAAAGCCAGTACGTATTACTAAAAGCCTTAAAATGAGAAAAAGAGCAACTGCAAAAAGCAAAAAAGGTACAGAACTGAAACTCAGGAGTTAGTAGGAGCCAGCCTTAGAGAACAGTGTATTTTCTGTGCTGGAAAACCCCAGAAAAAGCGGATGCTCATTCTTCAAGGCCAGGCTGGACAGGGCTTTGAGCAACCTGGTCTAGTGGAAGGTGTCTCTGCCCATGGGTTATGTGGGAACTAGGTGATCTTTAAGGTCCCTTCCAACCCAGTGTGATTCTATGATTCCTAGTAAGCTTATGTGGATGTGAGTACTGCTCCTCAGTCAGCTCCATGCCTCCTGCCCTACACAGGAAGAGGTGCTTGCGGACCAGGCAGAGGGCGGCTTGTGGGTACCCAAGTCTTGATACTGACATAGTGAAACTCATTACAAAACAAACCTCATTCTCTCTGATTCCATACTAAATTATAAGCTTAAGGTATTTATAAATATCTTCCAGGTATTTACACATCTTCCATCTGACTCCATAATAATAAGCTATTGTTTGATCAGCAGTAACTCCAGTTTGCATTGGAAGGAGCGAAATTTGACAACCACTACATCGTTAATGCCCACAATCTATTGTGATAGAAGGGAAGATGTATAACCATCACCATCCCACAATGAATTTGCCTAATAAGGATAGTACACAAATAAATATCCAAAGTAAAACATCACTTTACCAGCAAGCTTTTCTGTTATGTCTTGTTTGGCTTTTCCAGTCAGAAACTGGGCTTTTGTGCAGAATGGCTGAAGGAGCAAGTAGTTGTCTAAATGCAGAGAACAAAACGTGTTACAGTTGTTAAGCAGAAAATTAAACAGTCTGGAAATAAACAGAATATTCAGAAACGTAAATAAGAACCTTACTTGTATCAGCTTCAAAAACCACAGTGATAGATTTAAAGGCATAAAAGCATAAAAGCATAATCTTTTAACAAGGCCTAACTCCTAGAATCTGGTAGAGCATAGTATATTCTTTTACTGAAAACACTGAGATTCTGCTCCAAAGCTGAAACAGTTGAGGAAGGAAAATGGTCCTGGCATACACGAATCAGCAAGAATCTAGTTCTTTGACCTGTTGGAGATTAAGCAGTGTGACAATGTTCTGCATAATGAAACACAGAATCACAAGAAATGGTTGAAGTGGGTGAAGGACCTCTGGAGATCATCTGGTCCAACCACCTGCTCAAGCAGAACCCTCTGCAGCTGGTTGCCCAGGACTGTGTCCAGGCAGTTTTTGAGTATCTCCAAGGGTGGAGACTCCACAGCCACCCTGGGCAACCTGTGCCAGTGCTCTGTCACCCTCACAGCCAAAACCATCTGCTATGGAAAAAGAAAAAAACAGCAAGCTGTATTTCTGTATTGGACCAGCAAAATACTGAGATGATCTGTATGGTGTAGAAAGTGCGAGAATAAAGCCAGTGATTTGTTACACAATGTAATGATTGGGTGGAAACTTGGGAAGAATGATTCTTTACATTTAGAATTTAATACAATTAAAACTCTTTAAAATTAAGAGGGAGTAAATTACTGACCTAGGTGTTGACACAGAGCCTGAATACCATTTTTGGCAGCTGCGTAAATCCCCGGGTTTCTGGAGTTCAGGTTGTTGTCGACCATAGCGGGAATTAACATGTTGATCACAGGTGATAAATTGTCTTTCAGCAATGGAATTAGCTGGTGCATCGTCTCCAAAGCAATCCGGTTTACTTTGCCATTTAAGTCATTTAAGCGACACTTGAAAGCATCAAAAATCTGAAAAAGCATCCAAACAGCATTCATCAGAATTAACAATTCATGTTTGAGGTAGATACTACCTTTCCTGCTTTATTGTTATACTTTGATTGTCCATCTTAGCAAAAGATGGCTCTGATGTGCAAATACCCGAGATACTTTTTTGAGCAAGTAAAGCAACATTTGACATCTCTGTACTCCGTATTATTCAACTATGCCTCACCTCATCTCAATTTGCATCATTCCTGTACAACGTAAAGAAGGCAAACTAGCCATCTGTAACTTTCGGTATGACTAGTATTTTCTGAAAGCAAGTATTTTTAGCAAGACACAGCTGTATTTAGTAGAAAGTATGTTTTAAAGATTTCAAAACCATTCACATTTAGGATACTGTGAAGGTCCACAGAAGTACTTCATAGTTCCACAGCAAAGATGCTATACTGTTAGAAGACAATCTTGGTTTTCCTTTCATTGTATCTGTCTCTAGTTTACAACTCTTGGACCTCATCACAGTACTTTTCCCCTACAGAAACTCCTTTCCTAATACAAAGGATACTTCCTGTAAGCATTATCATAACAAAGACCTTTCCTCACATTCTCCTAGGCAAAGCAAGCAGGCAGAATTTGCAGCTGTGTTTCAGACAGTTTTTCAGATCTTGATTAATCCTTGCTGTTCTTTCTGTAAGCTGTTCCAATAGTCTGATATTTACTCAGCCATGGCATGAAAACTGGCCTGCAGTATTCCAGGAATAAAGAGTGCTTTCTCTAAGTGAAAACTTCCAGCTTCTTCGTCCTATTTACTTCCTTTACTACCTTTGTAGCTCGCACAGCTCACCCTGGAGCATATCTCACCTACTCCTCACTATTTTCCTGTTAATCAGACATTCTTATTGAATGAGTGAGCAAAGATTTTTATCCGAAAACAGCTTTAAAGACCCTTGAAATAAAATATTTTCATACACTTACCTTCAGGATGTTTGCAACAACAAAGCCTTGATTATTCTGTGCATCAAATAACAGCTGCTTAATGCCACGTATTCGATCATGGAAGTCCTTTGCGTTCAATAAACCTACGATGTCTTTAACATATTCTTCATTTTCTAGTAAATTACGAGGAGCTGCTTTTCTTATGACTCCATAGGCTTCTGTAGTCTCTCTGTTGGAAAGGAAGAAGTTACTTAGTGAACACATAAGCACGCTGAAATAGGAGTTTTAATCTCAAAAATCTCAGTGTTTTCAGTAAAAGAATATGTTATCCTCTACCAGATTCTAGGAGTTAGGGCTTGTTAAAAGAATATATTTTTACGGTTTTATGCCTTTAAATCTATCACTGTGTTTTCTGAATATATGATAGGTAAGGTTCTTATTCACGCTTCTGAATATTGTGTGTATTTCCAGACTGTTTAATTTTCTGTTTAACAGTTTTAACGTTTTGTTCTCTGCATTTAGACAACTAAAAAGCGACACAGTATCATCTAAAACCTTCAGCATCCCTGTTAAGATCTAAATACCTGCTGTCCAGGAAAGTGCATGGATAATCTGCATTGTGGCTACCACTAGACATGTTTTTTCTATAGAGTGTGAACAGCAGTATCTTTAAATGATGACAACATGGACCTAGTATGAAATGCAAGTGGTTTGTCCCCTGTGTGTATATTTCATAGGCAGTCGATAGGCAAATTAGCTTCAAAGTGCAAAAAGCTATTTTAATATTACCAATCACCCCATTTCAAAGAGCTTATCTGGGACATGTCAAATTTTTCCATTTCCTGAAGGTACGTTTACTTTTCACAACCCTATTGTCAATGCTTGTGTGCTCTCTGCTTGCAGTGAGGCTGCTATCCTAGAGTGTAAGTTGCTAGCAAGGTAAAACAGTGAAGATGATTACCTGTCAGTGCCATTGGTATTATCTTTCAAATGTCCAACGCTAGTAGTATGGGAATGTCTTCTTTTTGATGCGGGTTTATCTGACGGCAGGCCATCCAAACCCTGCACAGAGGAACAACTGTTAATTAACATGGCTGGTACAGTTCTGCTCTGCTAGAGAAAAAAAAAGCTATAAAAAGCAGTAAAGTACATCCCCTTCAGTGTATCTGCAAGCAGTAAAAGCATGAAGAGGGCAGCTAACAAGCAGCACCTTGCCATGCTGCAGTGACTTAATTACCTGGCTTGCTCTGAATGCTCTGCCTTCCTTCACTGTAGGTTTATTGTCTACCTCTAACTGCCACTAGTATGCGTTTACATTTCTCAGCTGTTAAACAAGAGCTTTTCCACATACCTTTTTACGTAGGTTGGTAATAGCTTCCCTAATATGAGGCAAATCCTTGGTCAATACATACTTCTCAATTGTTTTATCAAAATCAGGATGAGTCATCATACTGAAGAGCATCTTTCGACCATAATACCTGAAGGGCAACAGACCACAACATCTACAGCTGTAAACACGGGTTTGCTTTGTATCTCTATTGATAATTATAGATGTGTAATTCCAGAATACTAAAGTACAGACAGATTGCTATCCATAGATATAGACACACATTTCTTTCTCCCACAAAAAAAACTGTGCTCAAGAATCACTATTTAATCAACAACTGAGCAAATTAATGAGAACAATCTTCCATTTCAGATGTCTTTAAATAGGACGGTCAAGCCTTATCAGTCAGACAGCACGGATCCCAGTGCCAGCAATCCCTCTGTGTCCTGCATCTCATCTGTGCCCAACAGAGTATGTTCTTTGAGTCCCTGTACCATGTGTGCCTGCAGCCCAGAAAGCCAACCATATGCTCAGATGCATCACCAGCAGCGTGGCCAGCAGGTCGTGAGAAGGGATTCATCCCCTCTACACTCGGGTGAGACACCACTTGCAGCACTGCATCCAGCACTAGGGCCCCCAACATAAGGAGGGCATGGACCTGTTAGAGCAAGACCAGAAGAGGCCAAAGAAGATGCTCTGAGGGCTGAAGCACCTCTCTTATGGAGACAGGCTGAGAGAGCTGGAGTTGCTCAGCCTGGAGAAGAGAAAGCTCTGGAGAGACCTTACAGCAGCTTCTAGTACCTAAAGTGACTGGTGAGAAAGCTGGAGAGGCGCTTGTGACATGGGCATGTAGGGGTAGGACAAGGGAGAATGGCTTTAAATTGAAAGAGTGTGGATTTAGATTAGATGTTAGGAAGAAGCTCTTCACTGTCAGGGTGGTGAGGCACTGGCACAGGTTGCCCAGAGAAACTGTGGGTGCCCCATCCCTGGCAGTGTTCAAGGCCAGGTTTGACGGGGCTTGGAGCAACCTGGTTTAGTGGAAAGTGTCCCTGCCCATGGCAGGGAGGTGGAACTACATAACCTTTAAGGTCCCTTCCAACCCAAACCATTCCATGATCCTGTGACTCTATGATTCAGCCACCTGGAATGTGCTTATCTTAACTATTAAACTTACTAACCTTGTTTGTTGTGAACTATCCTGTGTAAACCTGACTATTGCAGGGAAAAGCCGATCAGCGGCAACTTTGGCTCCAGACAGAATCCGGTCCGGGCCCATACGTTCTACAGTGTCTGAGAGGTGCTGAGCTGTGCATCTTCTCACAGCTGAATTCAGGTGGCTAAAGAAAACACAGCTGCTTAGTAAAAACTCCTCACAGGAGTCAAACAGCAATATTTATGTGCTCTACCAAATAGATTATACAAGTTTTCTTTTCTTTTTTCATCTTTAGCATAATCTGCAAGTACTATACTGGTGAAATGAGATCCTTATTCTGGTCATATAGAGATGTGGAGCAAAGACAACTTTATTAAAAAGGGTAATCCATTTGATTAAATTTCACTTAAAATCTCAAACACCTATGCTGATAAAAATGAGAGAAAAGCTGGAATTAAGTTTCAAACTTGTGTAGCAAACTAACCTTTCATATAAGTTCTGCTATACCTACTGTTCCCACACGTCAGGGTACACAATTCTGCAAATTCAAACTTTTCCAATTTTATTTTTATCTTTGGATTAAGAACTCTACTTTGAGGTCAGTATCATTGCACAGTCAATGAGACATTTGTATGGTGCATCAGGAGATACAGGTTTGAAGGAGAGCTAAGGCACAGAATTGACTTTGAAGCCACATCAGTGTCTCCCAGCTTTTCAGTTTGACATGAATGTCCAGTGCTCTTCCTGAATAACCGTGTTCCCATTTCACCAAGATTTCACTTTCGCTGGTTCCGCAAATTACCACGGCCTTACTGGCTCTAAACCTATCACTAGATTATACTGCACAAAGCAGCTTCAGTTTGCACAAAGACAACTAACTGGGTCTATTCCAACCGCAAATTGTGGCAGTTCAGAAGACACCCCAGGCTGCAAAATCTCTCCAGTAGCGTAGTAGCTCCCATGCTGAGCTCCCTGCTAATGCAGCCATCCTCTCCGCTGCTGCTGCGCTACCAAGTTTACGACTAGCTTAAGACTAGTTTTGGCTCATGCTTAGTACATGCAGTTATGTCTATATAGCAGCCACATGTCTCAGGAGAAGGGAAACGGTAACAGACTTAACTCCTGCTGCATGCACCAAATGGAAAACAAGAACCATGAGGTGCAAAGCCCTCACTCCACAGAAGCAAACAAGCCCCCGTTCCCCATGAATGCCTGCTGCTCACGCAGAATAGTTAGAAATCTTTTTGCATGCACGTAAGACCTTAGAATTAAACTCAGTTCCTACAGGTAAGAAACACGATTTTAAAATTTCTGAAATACAATCATTTTGAGATTAGTCTCGCAATCATGCTCTTGGGTCAAGCACCTGATCGTAAATATGAGTTTACAGCAATAGTCCAGTATCTTTACAGCAAAAATTGCCCACTTTAGAAAATATATCCTTTCTGTCATTGCAGTTGTGTCCAACAGAACCTTTCCACCTCATACTGAAGACATATAATTTTTCTCCCAAATTTCCCCTTTGAAAGGTAATTCTCACATTCACTGTTACAGCCTCTGGAGGCAACGCCTCTGAATGTGCTGCATGGGCTTCGTTGCTCATACGGCCAGAGTATCATGAGGCCAATACTAAAAAAGCTGTAACTCACAGTGCTAGTTAGGCCATCCACTGATAACACATTAAAAACATCCTGTACTCCAGATGACAGAGAGATAAAAGATCAAGTACAAGTAGATATATATATATATCTAACATACTGGAATGCTTGATGAAGTGGATATATGAGGATATAAAAGAAAAAGAACAACATACTTTACAGGGAAAGTGAAAGAAAGGAAGTCAACTTCTACTACAGACTGAGGCAAGCTAAAGGTCAAAATCAAAGCATGCCATTGGAAACAGGGGCTTGTTGTGTTTCAGGTACTGAAGAAAATAATGGCCACCACCACTGTAAAGGAAATTAAAATGCAGACAAAAAGACTATTAACCAGTTAAGGGTAAAGAACAGGAAATCAACCAAGACAGCTGCAGCTAAAGAACTGTAAGTTATAAATCATCTTTCTGAATAAAACTTAGTGCTGAAAACTGAAAAGACAGGCGTTTTTTTGCAGAGCAAATGCAAAAAGAGAATGCTATGTGAGCTTTACTAGCGTATGTATGTAGTAATGTATGTATGTAATGTATGTAATGTACTGTATGAGCTTTACTAAAAGCAAATAAAATTACTTCAGTGTTGCAAAATTACAAGAAAATATAGCAAGCTCCAAAACTCAACAGCTAACTTTTAACATAATGTATAGAAAGAGAAGGTTGGGGGTCTACTTTTTACTTCTACACCAACAAACACTGCCCTGGGGAGAAGTTTTGCAGAGCTGACTTATATATTTTCAAATTTCTGCCTATTCTATTTTTATTTTTCTTTTAAAAAGACTATATTAGGTAAACTTAGCCTATTCACAACTTCTTTCTATATAAAGTCTATAAGAATTACCTTTGCCCTCCATCTATAAGAGAAGAAAGTGCACGTGCTGGAGTCACATTATTAACCATAGCCTTCAGTGCTTTGTCTACCTCTTCCCTTATAAATGTGTTGGATTCACCAGCTTTGTGCAAAAGGATTTTTACTGTATAATCTAGTTCTTGATCCATGCTCTTTTTCAGGTAGGTGAACAAATCCCCTAAACAGATCACAGCAGCTCGAGAAACACCTGAGCGTAAATTCTTGACCTGCACACAGGAAAAACCCAAACAAACAATGAAGAATGTTTATAAAATATACTTTAAAATAAATAAAACTTAATATTTCCCTTCTTAATTTTTTACTAACATTAAAAGCAACTGAGAAATATATTTCTAACTTGATGCACAATGTGTGAGAATTAAAATACATACACATGAAAAACAGCATTGTTATCTAAATATTTTCAGTCTTTTAGCAAATCAGATCAAGTGTTGGTATCTGAAGTATGAGCTCCTTTGCTGAGCACAAACTCATCCTTACCAGATTTCAGCTTATCTGAGAGCTATACAATACATACACCCACACAGTCAGTGAAATACTCTGATAGTAAAGTATAACCTCTTGAGCCACAGCCATGCTTGTTTCATGTAGCTTTGCACTCAGAGTAGTCGCGTGGTAGGCAGACAAACATCTAATGATGTTCAGACCTTCAATCTTCTTCTCCCTATGGAAAAAAAATTAAAAAATAAAAAACTCAAATGCAATTAAGTAATTCAGTTTGCATTTTTTTGTAAAAATATTAAACCTTAGAATGCCAAGAAACAAAACGGCAAACAAATTAGATTGCGAAATTAAGCAATGGCATATAATGTACAAAATTCTTTCAACGCAAGTTTTTCTTTTAATGTAGTAGCAGGAGTATTTTAGCATACCAGTCTCTCGATTCTTTCCTACAGTTCTGTTCACAGCTCGCACTAGTGGCAATTAAAGCATTACTTTCCTTCCCCGAGTTGAAAAGGTAGCAGCACTGTAGCCCCATTTCACCAGTCAGAGCCCACTGAAGCCTTACATTCGACAGGAAGATATTGAGGGGGCCCCTCTCCAGATCAATGCTTAAACTTACATAGGTCCACAAGCCTCTGAAAGCTTATCTGTCAAGCCTCAATTTACAATAGTCACAGTTTAATCTAGGTTTAGATTGAAAAAAAAACTTTTTTTTTTTCTCATATATGACTTGCAATCCTTCTCGCTACCTTTTATGTTATGCCCTTTTTGCTGTTTTATTTTGGGGGTTTTGTTTTTTGTTTTTAAAGTTATCAAAATAAATGCCTTCTACATTACATCCAGGTTGCAGACAGATGTTTACACCTACCAGTCATCATTAGCTAGAAGTGTCAAGGCTTCTGTCAGTGCCGTTTCCAGCTTTGAAAAGGGACCCAGTTCCGATTTGTCCATTGCTCCTGTGACTGATGGCCTCTTGCCTTTATAGTTTCCTTGTGCCCTAAGAGAAATTTCATCTGCGAAGTCTTGAAGCATAAGAAATAATTAGCATAATCTGGAAAACCTAATTCATTCCAAGAAAGGAAATATAAGAAGTTTGAGCTATAGGCTGCTGCTACTAAGGGACCAGGTTTTCAAATGGACAGCTTTCCCAGTTACAACCTTGATCACTCACTAGTTCATTCATGTGAATGAATGTTTTTTCAAATAGTCACCACATTAAAGAGTCACAAACACAAACATAGTGGATTGTTTAGTGCAAAACTAAATGCACATGGTTATGAATTCAAATCCCCTTCACCACCACCCCAAAATTACTAACCTTCTGGAGCACCTCAGGACTGTCTGTTGTACAAATAACTCATAATAAACCCGAGAGTATTCTGGAACTGCTCCACTCCACACGTCCAAATATTTTAATAGTATTCAGTTAATTTAAACAACTTACCACGTTGTAGCAAGGCTGGATGTTTTGTCTTCTTGAAGTTGGATGTTATTTTTACTGAAGGATTCACGGCCACATCTTCTAATGACAAGGATGCATTTCATAGAATCACAGAATAGTTAGGGTTGGAAAGGACCTTAAGATAGATCATCAAGTTCCAACCCCCCTGCCATGGGCAGGGACACCTCGCTCTAAACCCTATCACTCAAGGCCTCGTCCAACCTGGCCTTGAACACTGCCAGTGATGGAGCATTCACAGCTTACCTGGGCAACCCATTCCATAATAATAAGATAATTTTGGTTTTGGAATACCCTTACCAGCAATTACAACTGCATCTTCAGATGGGACACTTTGTGAGGTGAAATCTAGATTGTTTGTCTGTGGAAAAGTAGATGCTGGCTCCGCAAGACCTTAAAAAAAAATAAATCACATAATATAAATAATGTAGTTTATGCTTTGGTACATGTTTTATTCTTCTAAAATGTTATACACCGACATTTAAAGTTATCGCTTTAATGAATCAGTATATTTGCAAGTTACTGAAGAGGAATTATTAAATATTTATATCCCCAAAACCATGGAAAGCATATATCAAACAGAATTGCTGCTAAAAGATCATAAAGAAAACCAATGTTTGCAAGAGGATTTTTAAGCCAACTTATTCCACTGAAAAAAAAACCCAAACAACCAGAAGTTCCTAACTCACTTACTGGAAGGATAGCACTGTTTCTTACATGATTCAGCACAACTGAAGTGTAACAGAATTTGCAATGTATTTTCCCCCAAGCAGCACTTAATTCTGTTTCCCATCTGAATTAGCAGTCCCTCAAACTGTCCCCAAAAGTGGATGACATATATGATATACTTCTGTATTGGCTGCACTAGTTGCAAGTAAAAATTATAGTTTGTGACAAAAGAAGGGCACAATTCACTTTGGCTATTTAATCTGGTTCATCTGAAATTTCTCAACAGAAAAGATGATTTAGCAGAACTTGATTACTTACACTTTCTACCAGAATGTGCAAAAATGAAGTCAGGGGACTACTGAACCATCTCAGCTGAGAAGTATTCTGGTAAACTTTGAGCCCACCACCTACATCTGTGGCTGCTGCAAAATGTCCTTTACCAGGCAAGCCGCAGCATCTCAACAACTTGGGACTCTTGACAACTCTGTTGCGCTTTACACTCTCATCTCAGGCTTTAGTTTGCCAAAAATAGTCACAGGTAAGAGTCTGGCAGATAGCTCTTTACTTTACAAATTATCTGATTCCATAGTTTTAATTTTGGAGCTCTTTTCTATGCTTTATGAGAAGAAAGTTCTGCACTGGTGGCTGTCACTGTCACCACATCCACATCCTCATGAGATAAACAGCCATACTGAAATCTTTAAGAAGACTTCTTGTGTTTTCTTCTTCAGCTGAGAACTTGGATCAGAGCAGGGTTTTTTTGTTCAGCTAGGGAATATTTTGCTTTGGGATACCCAAGATGGTGATGCTCTTCCAGCAAGGAATGCTATGGACGGTGATGAAGGGACAGGAGCTCATTGAACAAATAAGAACAGACACATCAAGTGAACATTCTCCTACATAGAATCATAGGATAGTTAAGATTGGAAATGACCTTAAGATCATCCAGTTCCAAACCCCCTGCCATGGACAGGGACACCTCACACTAAACCATGCCACCCAAGGCTCTGTCAAACCTGGCCTTGAACACCGCCAGGGATGGATCATTCACAGCCTCCCTGGGCAACCCATTCCAGTGCCTCATCACCCTTACAGTAAAGAACTTCCTCCTTATATCCAGTCTAAACTTCCCCCGTTTAAGTTTTAACCCATTGCCCCTTGTGAAGAGTCCATCCCCAGCATCCTTAGAATCCCCCTTCAGATACTGGAAGGCTGCTATGAGGTCTCCACGCAGCCTTCTCTTCTCTAGGCTGAACAGCCCCAACTTTCTCAGCCTGCCTTCATATGGGAGGTGCTCCAGTCCCCTGATCATCCTCATGGCCCTCCTCTGGACTTGTTCCAACAGTTCCATGTCCTTTTTATGTTGAGGACACCAGAACTGCACACAATAATCCAAGTGAGGTCTCACGAGAGCAGAGATCACCTCCTTCAACCTTTTCACGCTCCTTTTGATGCAGCCCAGGATACGGTTGGCTTTCTGGGCTGCGAGAACACACTGCTGGCTCACCTTAAGTTTCTCATTGACCAACACCCTCAAGTCCTTCTCTGCAGAAGGAAGCAAGTTACTTCACATCAGTGAAGCGAGGTTTATTTTGAAAGGCACAACGCTATACCTGTGCTGGTGTTATGTTCTGCCACATTAGGGTCTCTGTTTCTTGCAGAAAATGTTCTTGCAGTCTCTGATTTTTTGCCAAGTAGTAGAAGATTGTCTGACCTGTTAAAATAGAAAACAGATCTGTATAGGTACAGTGCCACACCCTCGTCAGAGTCCAGATAAATAACACCATGTAGCAAAACCAACAGATTTCAGTCTCTCCTCCCCAATGTAGCTTATGGACAAATATTTCCAGTATGCTTCCACAAATGTTCACTTGAGTAGACAAAGAAAATTAACTCAGTAGAGATTATTTGATGAGCAGGTCCATTACAAAGAACACGATAAAGACAATCCTTGACAGTAAACTTTACACCGGGATTAAATTTAGCATACACTCAAAAAAAACTAAGACTTGTTTGGCCTTGGGGCTGAAAATGCTGGTTCTATCTAGCAAAGCATGGCAAATCAGAGTGACCAAATCCATTAGCCTTTCACTTCTAGAAATTAGCTTGTTTCAGCTCAGTGTCTAGCAGACAGACATTCACCAGAAAAATGCTGTTATTTACCAGACAATCTTGATACTTCTTGTTTCAAATGATGTGACTGAATGTTAAAGCTGACTGGAAAAGCCCTGCGCTGTTAAATACTGTGCCTAACTACGTAATAGTCACATGGAAACAGCAGCTCTTCCACTCTCTGCTAGGACTGAAATACACAACTAGAAGGCTTGCTTTTAAGATCCTGAGGAAAGCCCATGCTCCAGAAACATCACTAATACTAGTGCCAAGCTCCCATTTCTCATGGCAGTTTACCAGTAGATAAACCGATCCTTCGAACAGTAAATGCACAAAAAAAGCCCACATTACTGTTGCCAGATTTTGTCTTCTGGAATATATTTTGTCACTTTTACAAATTCAGTCTTAGCGCCAGATGTCCCCTCTTTTCCTTGTTAGTTCAGAATTCCTCTGTCTGTGAATCCTGTAAAACTTTCAGTTTGTGTGTCACTGAATAATGGAAAAGGCATGTTGGTTAGAGTTACGTCCTCGGCCAAAACCCTGCCTGGAAGAACATTATACACAGAAGCTTATAGTCATGGCTTTTTAGGTATTCTAGCATTTTAATATTTTAAAACTTATTCTTAAAACTGTGATTCTGCAGTAAAGCATATTACTACATAGTAATACATATAAATTAGTTCTGAGATCACAGAACTGTGCAAACCTTCTGTTTCTGAATCCTTCCAGTCTCTTTGTCTTAAAACCCTTTTGTTTGCATATTCCCTCTTTTCCTTCCTATTTTGTTAAGACAGCAATAAAAAGATGCACTTAGTACACCAAAAAAAAAAAACCCAGAAAAATATCTTCAGAGCAGAGCTACAAGCAGCTTTATCATGGGCTCCAAGAGCAGAAAAGGAGATTCTGTACTGCAAAATTTGAAAAATTATTCAAAACCTTTTTTGTTTCATTAAAAAATAGTTTATACTGCTCATAACCAACTGGGTCATTGTTCTTTAAAGTCAGAGGAGGATGTGTCATCATACAATTTCTTTTTAGAAGAGCTCTGTGAAGGCATTTTAAATTAACAATAGCCTGTCAGGAATAAAATGGAAACGGTTCATGATTTGCAGTAATAAGAAACACGTCTACATTGTCTTCCTCTTATCATAAAAAAACAACCCATTCCTTCTTCAATTTCCAGGCTATAATAAGCAAACTATATCCTTCCTATTAACTCATTCTCCTTCTTACTCATTTGTTTAGGCTATGGATCACATACCTTCTAAGGCAGACTAAAGTCTTAATAAAATATTCACTACTGCAGGCAGCACTTCACTGCACTGTGTTACTATGGCTGCACCGGGAAACTCTTGCAAATTAAAAGCCAGCACACACTAGAATAACATCATTAAGCAGCTGCCCTGTACAGCAGCATATTTTCAGATAGGAAAATAATTCACCTATAAAAATCAAGCTATTAAGCAAAGCAATCTTATATACAAACTTATTACAGGTTTCACTCCCTTTCCTATTTAACTAACACCAGCAGAGACTATGTGTTAGAATTTCAGAGTTAACACACGAGTTCAACTCACATTCTTCTCCTTCTGTGGGGGTCTGTGGACATGGGTGAAGTTACAGAGTCCTGGCTGTAAACACCGCTTTTGCTGTAGGCTTCCACGCTTGGGCAGGACACATGCGAGGGGGAACCCCCAGACAGATCACGTTTAAGAGCAGAATTGGGACTTTCAAGACCTGAAATGTTGCGGCTTAACACTGCCCTTTTCTTAGCTGCAGTGTTTCGTAGAGATCTTAATGAATTCTTCATCTAAACAGGATTGAAAACAAAATGACAGGGTTTATTCAGTGCACAGGAAAAAAAAAAAAAAGCTTCTGTAAATAGAAGGAAGTATGTTTCTGAGTGTTCAGTTCAATTCACAGGAGTGCACATGCCCCTGTTGGGCAATGTGACCGACCATTTACACAGGTCATGCAATATTGTAACGATCTCTTTCATTGTTTTACTTCACAAGAGTAATTATCCTGCAAGTAAATGCAAATTCACAGTGACACTGTATCCTAGCTTCATTCTGCAAAACACAGGAAGAGATTCCTGAAGAAATACATCAACTCTTATCTTTTTTTAATAGACTAAAGGAAGCCTTTGATAGCTGCAAGTACAGGCAACTGGAATCTCAGGCTTTTCACAACAGAACTGCACAAAGCTGCAAAATACACAGAAGTGAATCCTGAAAATGGTGCCTAGTAAGCAAAGCTCCTACTCAAATAAGCAGGAAAATCTGTAATCACTAGAGAATCATGTTACTGAATATTCTACACTCTTTTTGCTGAATAGATTGGATATTAAAAAAATTCTTCCCATCTGTTTACCAACGCAAGTTACTTTCAGAAGTGACTAGAGTATGGAAGATAAAGGCAGTAAGGCAAAGACATGAAATCCTACTGCAAATGCTCTCAGATCCACAGGTGCTAAAGACAGGACCTGAGATTCAGGCAGTCTATGAACTGGGACAGAAACTAAGGATGTGTCATGGGAGCATGTGGGGAAGACCATAGCAAAATCCAGTCATGGTGATCCCTATGCTTCTCGTGTAATTGATGCTGTAATAGTTTAGATGTGTACTGATGTGGATGCTGGGGATACAGCTCCACCTCCCCTCCATCCCTGGAAATAACCAAGGTTCACAGAATGGTTTGGGTTGGAAAGGGCCTTAAAACTCACCCAGTTTCACCCCCCTTACCACGGGCAGGGACACCTTCCACTAGACCAGGTTGCTCCAAGCCTTGTCCAACCTGGCCTTGAGCACTGCCAGGGATCGGGCAGCCACAGCTTCTCTGGGCAGCCTGTGCCAGTGCCTCACCACCCTTACAAGAAAGCACTTCTTCCTCATATCTAATCTAAATCTTGTCCTGTCCCTACAGGCCCTTGACAACTTTCTTGCTGGCCCCTTTAGGCACTGGGAGCTGCTCTAAAGTCTCGCCAGATCTTTCTCTTCTCCAGGCTGAAGAACTCCAGCTCTCTCAGCCTGTCTCTAGAGCAGAGGTGCTCCACCTTTGTGGAGAGCATCTTCGTGGCCTCATCTGGACTTGTTCCAACAGATCCATGTCCTTATACTGGGGTCCCTGAAGTCACAACAGTGAGAACAGAAGCTGTATAAAGACCCACAGTTTTGCACTGGTACTACAGTAACTGAAAAGAGTACGACTTCAGCTCTGAGAAAAGCAAGGGAAATTAAGATGTCTGGAACACGGGAAGTGTGCTTCCACATCAGTTTTTATTGCTTTATTTAGCATCTATCAGACACCCAATGGTATCTCATGGAAATCTGCTTACTGATGACAGTGTCACAAAACTTAAGTCAGAAACATTATTTTCTGGCTCTTGACTGGAAAAAAACCCTCCACAATTTATATGCTATATATTTAAACTAACCTCTTCCTGGTCCACTTCCTCACCATCCACATTTAAGGCTGAAAGATCAGCTGCTGCAAGCTTCCTGTCTGCTTTATTCAGCCTCATGTCCTTGCACTCTTCATTTCTGCACTTTGTCAAATTTAACTTAATCTTATCTGGCAGCAGGCGGGGAATGGGAGGGATGGGTTTTGTCCCGTTCAGGCCCCTGCAGGGGACTTGTTGCCTCACCAGGGTGGGTTTCAGCTGCAGAGGAGCATGTTTCTCCTGCAAATTCTCCCCTGGAGGAGACACAAGCAGATGTCAGTCCATTGTAGGGGTGGGCAGGATTACAGCACACACCAGAATAAACCTGATGCGCCGTTTCCATATGACACCAGAAAACGCCCTTTACAATGAGATGAGCGTTAAAAAAAACCATACACAATTTAATTTACTACTATAAATACATTTCAACAACATCTTGTTTGGTACCTTTAAAAAGTAGGGAGCTTCCTTAGTTAAGAAAAAAGAATAGTGCCCTGACAAACCGTCCTATAAGCTGTTGTAATGACAATAAAGTTACTCCAAAGAAACAGGAAAAAAACACAAACAAAATGCATATGGACAACATACACAAAATCAGCAAGTGATGAGCACACACGCTATTTTTAATCTAATACTAGATTGCCTTTACTAAGTATTTGAAAGAAATCAGCTAAATTGGTAAAGCAACTGTAATTAAGTCAACACCATTTCAGGTTAACCAAAATCTACACGAGGTCTTCAAAGACAGTAAATCACACCACAAACAGCAGTCTCTACCGCTAGCTGTCAGTATAAATTGGGATGAAATCAGCACAGATTCTACTTATCAGAGACATAGTTGTTTGTAAGCATGTTTTAAAGAGCTCGTCTGAGTGTGGAGAATTCCATATTTACATTTCCAAATGCAAATAAAGAGGCAAGAAGGCCAAATGAAATGAGTAATATTCTTCTTGCACAGGTATTAGAATATTAGAAGTAACAGGTATTTCTATATTGGCATTAGGACCTTGGAAGGGCATCGTATTCTCTGCTTGATTGTAAAAACTTCTCTGGGTCTTGTTGGAAAAATTTAGGCTGGTACAACCTGAGCAAAGAAAAAGAAAATAGTATTTGTGGTAATTAGCCTCTTTGACAGCTCTTGTAATAAAAGAACACACCATCTTCACAGTCAAAAACTGAATGGCAGCATTCTATCCACACAAACAAACAAATCAGCTAACTTTATTTTGCAAATTGCATTGTCCCCCAAAACATCAATTTCCTTTTTTGCACTTGATCCCATGAGTTTATGACTAAGCTCTTTCCCAGTCATTTTTAAAGAGCTAGACTTTGAAAAACAGATTACACAAGAGGATTGAACGGTTCTGTTGCTTGCTGCTCCATATCCCAAGGCTGCATCGCATAAAATCTGCAACCATCACTCTCAAAACTCAGTGATACAAGAGTACAAATAAAGCACAAATGTTATAAATTCTACTTCCTTAAAACAAACAAACGAACAAACAAACAAACAAACAAACTATAGTTGGGGTTTTTTTCCAAACACCAGTAGAACAACAATAGAAAGATAAGTGTAGATGTGGAACAATACCATTTTAACTGTTTCCCATAAAAAGCAGACACATGTTCCCCCACATGCACTTAAGCTTTTAACCATGCAAGTAAAAATCAGGACAAGTTTTATCAAAGTTCCTGACGGCCTCTGGAAGTGCTGGGCCACCTCAGCTGGCGTGCTGAGAGAACTGCCCTGCAAACAATTCCACTGGCACAACCAGAAGAATGGAAAAGCATAGCCTGCGAGTAGATCAGATTCTACGCTACCACTCTTTTCACGTGTCTGCGTGTGTCCAAGTGTTCCACATTTCCCTGATATTTGCGGCTGATGAGAGCCCACAGGACCTGTCAAAAGAAAAACACAAGTAACTAGATAAATACTTAATATATGGTACTCAACAGAAAATAGTCAATGATATTTCATAATGCATTAAGACTCTTTGTCTAACTTTCAGTGTAAAATACAACTATTTTAAAAGTACTTAATTCAAGAGTTTCTAAGCAACCTCATAATACTGTTCATAAGCACAAACTGGAAAAATGGCTGGCCATTCTTCCAGGACACTTTTCCAACTGCGAATTGCAGGGGTCAAAAGAAAAATCCTGAACAATGCCCCCCCTTAAGACAACACCTTAAAACCCCAAAACACAAAGAGTTTCTTTAGACTTCACTCACAGCATAACAGTGAGCAAACTTGGCATGCCACAAATGTCCATGCCCCTCAGAAAGAGCTGAGAATACAACCTCCTGCCAAGTGAAGACAGTAAGTCAGGCCCAGTCTTGCCCAGTCCTTTCACATGCCTTTTGGCCATTAAAATACAAATCACTGAGCCCATGCTTCCAGTGTAAATGGAAGTGGAACACTATACTGACAATCTTCCAGAGACCTGGTTTTTAAAACCATGATATTTTCCTTTAGAACAGTCTTTAGAGCTCACTCTAAAATGTCTGGGTCTCCTTTTAATTTACGTCTTTATCTGCAATTCATATGGTATTTTACAGTGTGAAAGAACATTGACTGCATTACTCTGTTGCTGACCTATATGGTACATCTTTTTCCTAATTTTGCAAATGCTGCAGCAAGCTCAGGCCTTTTGTAGTTAGAGAGGCAAAAAACAAGGAAGGCCTTTTGTTCCCCTAGCCACACTATTTCTTTTTGTACTTGCCATCTGCAAAAACCCTGATCTATACACTCTTTTGGATCTATCTAAACTAGTGGATATCTGTGTGTGTACAGCAGGACTGGAAGAGAACATTCTAATTTTTGAGATGGCATACACTTCTCCAGGAGCACAGATGAGACCACTGCTGCTTGCTTCATCTGGAGGCATAGCCCTGTGCCTGGTACTCAACTCTTCGTAGTAAATCAAAATAAATAACAAAACAAATAATAAACAAATGATAAATCATGCTTATGAAGCTACAAATTTATACTCAGCTTCTTCTAAATCTGTTTTGCAAATGGCAGATCGAACACGTTTCTGTGTTAACGCTTACCAGCATAGACAGAAGAATGCTCCGACTTAAAATCTACGCTATTCTGAATGAAATTCCCTGAAGTTCTTTTTCTACTAAAATGTAACTCATCACTGACTGGTACTCCTTGACAGGGCCTTAACTCTGGAAAATGAGGTAAATCACTGGATGTAGGGAACTGTAGGAAAAAGGAAAATAATAATAAAAAAAAAGCATTCATGTGTGTGAAATGAATGTAGAAACCTTTTCTGTATGAGCAGCAGATTGACCCGCATAACTTTGTCACTGAGACCCCACCACAGCCCAGACCAGCCTCTCTTTATAATAAAGCTACACAAACCACTGTCAATAGGTGTAGGGAGACAGAGTTCATGCAAAATAAAGGGGTTTCCTCCCTACAACTTAGACAATGAAAAGCAGGAAAGTGTGCACATGAGCCTTTTCTGCCACCCACAGAAGCCACTGGGATGCATGTATATATTCACAAAGAAAGCACAATGAACAAAGGAGCAAAAAGCCAAAAAGGCTTCTACAGAAAACCAAAGCAGACACCAAGAATGGTGCCACTGGGCCAGACCAGAAGCTCCCAGCTCCAGCTGTCCCAACCCTCCTGTGCGTTTATTGCCTGTGCACTGCAAGGCAGGTGGACAGGAACCGCAAAATGCACTGAAATGACAGCCCATGGACAGAAACCACTTGGGTGCAGGCACGTGCTCTAGCAGCCTTATTCCATAGCGCCCTGGAATGCTGGCTGCAAGGATGGCATGAGAACGCGGAGGAGAGGAGGTCTGTCCCCACTGCCCTGGGCACCGATCAGGGCTGGGACATGGCTGTGCGCCTTCCATCTCATCCTCTCACAGCCACCTTGAGGCAGGCAACTGCCTAAACCCAAAGCACTACTCGAGTTTAAAAAAATAACCTAATTCTATTTTCCAGCGTTAAACAGTCTTGCCCAACCCGTTATTGCAAGATCGGTAACATAAGATGTGAAGCCTTTCACTGCCGTGAAACTAAGCATTAGGTTTGCTGCAGTGTGGCCAGGTCAGCAGTTCAAAAATTCAGATCTTTCACACAAAAAAGACACATTGCAATTTTCTTAAACCTTAAAATTTAGCACTGAGCACCATGGCTCTTCAATGCAAACTGCTGAGACTTCTTTTGTTAATAAAAGGCAGTTGATTTATAAATGCAAAACATTTGGATGAAAGCTTTCCCAGCTATGCAATAGTTTATGTATTTGAAGCATTCTATAGTTGGTTTCTGTGTCTTACTGTAATACAGGCTGACACTACTCACACAGAGGGGAAAAAAAAATAATCCAGCAACAAAAACTGGTAGAGAATTGCACTAGTTGTCACTTTTAAAAATTAAACATGAACATTCTGAATTATGTACATTAGCTGTGTAAGCATTTAAATAGCAGCTATTTGAGGCATGAAAACAGTATGCTTCAGATTTAGCCTAAAAGCTGTATCTGGTAATATTAGTAGTACCTCATAATGAGAACCTGTTATAGGTGAAGTCTGAGTAACATAAAAACTTAGCAAAGAAAAGTTCATGTTTTAAATAAAGGTTTATTGCTTTCTGATTTATTCGTAAAAATCAGTAATTTAAATCATTTCCAGGCTATGTTAACTCTGGTCTCCTCTTTTACAGACAAGGCTCCACACAGAGGCCAAAAGAGAAGACTGAACAGAAATGGAAATATTTA